TCCTTGGTTGAATTAATATTTACAACGGAATTTGGAGTGGAACATGCATGTGATCAATTTTTTTTGGTGACTTCCTTGCGTTTTATTCCCGGGGGTTATATGTAAAATATCGCGTGTAACAGCTATGACTTCAAAATACGCATGAACTTTGCTTTCGCTAAAAACATAAAAAGAGTTTTTGCAAGCGGTATTCTGGCCATTTTTGACCGCTGTACGCTGGGGGTTGCATCGCAAACATTGGGATCAGACATCAAGTTTCCTCTATATTATTTGCAGTGTTTTCTGTACAGTCTAGCTGCATTACTGGCAAAAAAGATGACTAAAATAATGAGCCTTCTACGAGTGAAATGAGCAGGGCCAAAAAACCACAAAGACATCAACATAAAAACTGAAATTTGAACAGCGCTTTGCGAAAACATCGGACGATAGCCTACCACCAAATAGTATCCTTTTGGCTTAACGTTCTATCAAAGGGAATTTATTAATATTGATTTTTGACCGTTTTTTAATTTCCTAAGAAGCGTATCGATAGACTTTTCTAAAATTGAAGAATAGATTTGATCAAGTTCCTCGAGATATATTCGTACAGTTCCTGTCCGGTACGCCCATGATAAAGGGGTTTGATATCAATTGGGACGCAAGTTCTGTTTCAGACTCCTGTCACAAGTACTAATTATTTTGTAAGTTTTTATTTTTCTAGTGTCAGTTGTAATTGTAAAAATTCTCTATGTAAATGTGAAAAATTCATTAAACTAAACTAAACTAATTTAGACTAAAATGCCGTGTAAATTTACGGATTTATACATAACTTCTTTCTATGAATATATTTTATTTAACGGTTTGAAGACGATCTTTCTTCAAATTCCATGACACGTTGTGTTAACAATGCGGCAATGACATGGGAGATGTAGACAAGCGACGGCGCTAACTTTCTAACAAATGTTGTTTGCCGTTCTTGTAGGAACAAAAATGCCGCTTTAGTTCAGAAAATTAACTTAGTTAAGGCACAGATGATAGATCGTACCAGATGTCTCACTGTGTATCTATCCCTATGATTTTCGTGTCCGCGATTTTCGCGAGGCTATCACGCCAGATGACGCGTGCGACACTTACTGCCAAAATGGCGCTTACTGCCAAAATACGTGATTGCTCGCGTTTCATGGCGTGGATTACACTTACTGCAAAAAAGGCGGTCAACGCGTGCTCATAAAAATCGCGGACACAATTTTAGCTGAGTGATTCATCTGGTATTATCTATCATCTGTGGTTAAGGTGGCTCCCTAGGGTTTTATTTCCGGGGGGTTACGTTCTTCGTATATATGTAACTAAAATCGTGTGACTTCAAAATACGAACGAACGTTGTCTTTTAACTCTTTTCGAAACAAAAGTGTGAATTTTGCTTTAGTTTAAAGCATAAAAAGAGTTCTAAAAGCCACAACGATACTTGGATGTGATGTTTCGAAAGACTGAAGATAATGTAAACCTTTTTTTTTTCAAGCGGTATTCTGGAAGTTTTCTGAACCGCCGTACGCGAGGTTGGGATATGTTATAAAGTTTCCTCAAGAATTTGCAGTGTTTTCTCCACAATCTAACAGTACTTATGACAATAAAGATGACTTAAATAATGAGCCCTCTACGGGTGAAATGAGCAGGGCCGAAACTCCAAACATACCACTATAAAAACTGAAATTTGAACGGGCATTTTGCGAAAACATCCGACGATAGTATACTAACTCGCATGGGACAAATTTTGAGAAACATTTTTCAAATTAATACCAAGAAGTCAGCATTATTTATTCAAATGCATGAAGGCTAATTTGTTTTTGGGTTGTTTTGGGTTACCAGAGATTTGAGGCTATCTTCTCTTTCTTTTGTGAAGTCATAACCAGTAATTACCTAAATATCTTTGCCAATTTTACATGTATAATCCACGAATAGTTGACCATTAACCGACACAGTTATAAACAGTATATAAAACATAATTTATATTTTGTAATTTCAAAAAAATCATCCCTTATTGTTTTATACAAAATACATGTACACGTCAGTTGTGGTATTTTAAAAATTGTTCGCGTCAAAATCTAGTAAAAATTGCCGAAATTAAACCCAAATTTCTCCCTTTTCCTTCGGTAAATTTTTTTAAAACTTTGCACATTTTTTAATATCGGCACAACAAGTGCAATATCTTTTTTTCTTAAAATTATATCGAAGGGAAAAGTTTTAATATTGATTTTTGACGTTTTTTAAATTTTCTAAGAAACGTATCGATATATTTTTTTTAAATTGAGGGGAAAAAATCATACAAGTATTATCTTTTATGCAAAGTTTTAAAATGACCTGAAAAAGACAAATTTTGAGCTTTATTCTAAGCATGCTGTTGCCATGGCAACAGACTTTCAACACAAAAGTAGCAATTTGCATTGTTTAGGAGAGCATTGTCAATGTGTCCAATAAATTTCGTTTTCATGTCATGTAAAGTTAAGAAACAGCAGTCTCCTGAATACTATAGTGTAGTAAATTCAAAAACCCTAGGGAGCCACCTTAAACAACAATTCGCCTCTGTTGCCAATATTTGATTGCATCTTCAAGAAGAACCATATTCCCTATACTTTGAAATGACTTTGTTTTATTGTTTATTTATATTAAATAAGTCGAAAACTGAATTACTGTAACGACATTTAAATAAGGACTTGCGAAAGTCTAAGTTACACATAACTTGCTGTAGTTCTTGAGCATCACATTCGGAAGTTATCCCTCTGAAGATTGATATAAGACTACATGTAGCTGCTTACCTATAGGCTAATTTATGGTCCTCTTGTTCAAATAATGATGAATGTTCTCTGGGAACTGATAATTGCCATGATAATGCGAACTGTACTGATACAATCGGTTCGTATATATGTCAATGTAAGCCAGGTTTCAGCGAGGATGGTACAAGTTGTGATGGTAAGGATAAGATAATTTTCTTTCTTAACATTTGCAAAGGCTTGTAGGACATGATATATTGTAGAATTTAGAATTTTATTAAAAATAACCGACGAACGATTAAATACACAAGCTAATCGTGTATTTAAAAACAAAACAAAACAAAACAAAACATGTACAAAAAATGTGGATTTCAAATATTCATGACATCTCACCTTTTACACGTGCAGAAGATTAATTTTAGAAAACTATGTCCTACGATATGCATATAGCAAGTCAACAATTAAGGTGGGTGGTTATAAGACTGCCGGCGTAAAAAACGTGAAGAAGTAAATGAGTACAGGTTTGGCATGCAGTATGAAATACATGGAAGAAAAGCCACCGCGTACCTGGCATTTTAAAGATTGAAATATGCGGCAATTTTATACAATTACATTTTTTGTTCATTACTTGAGATATCAATCTTTGCCAAAAATTGCTGCATGCATGCAGTGAACGAATGCCTGATGTCAATTATGTGAACAACAAAGTGTTGATGCTCATGATCACGAGACGTTGGTCAGAAGACAGGATCTCTGTTTATTTATGCGCATGGTGGATTGTTGCACGCTTTAAATTTTTTCTTTTAGAATCGCAGTGCCATGCAGAATAAAATGGCTGTGATCGTTGTAAGTTACTTCATGTCAGTGAAACATATCTCTTCAATATTTAGATATTGACGAATGTGCTGCTGGATCTCATATTTGCCATGTTAATGCGTCCTGTACTAATACAGTTGGTTCCTATACATGTGCATGTAAGCAATTTTTCTCAGGAAATGGTACATATTGTGAAGGTAAGGAAGAAACAGATTCGAGTGTCCATCGTAGTTAGACTGAGCCTTACTTCCTCATGTTATGCCCACACACATATTTCTCTTTTGCTGTGCCCACGATGCTATCTTTAAGACCAAATATATATTCATGGGTGTTCATTGTGAAAGGCAGGTTGCATTTACTAAGATTGCAAAAACCATACCTAAGTTTGATGATTGATGTTTTTAACACAGGATGTGAACTGGTAGTTATTTGTCTGCCAGAGAACAAGGGTAGTGGTGGGAAAGGGTGGTTTCGCAAAATCTAATTTAAGTCAGGTCAGTTAGTTTCAAGGCGCAGATTAAGAAAATATATTTTATACACGGCTTTTAGGAGCCTGTTACATTTTGTTTAAAAATACTTAAAGAAAAAAGGATTCCAAGTACGAACGACTTGTTGAATTTCTGAACTGGCTTGTTCTCGTAAATCATAATTCATCCTTCATTCTTACTCTATATCAGAGCGAGACTTTAAACATTAAAACTAGGCTATCAGTGCACTTAAAATGGTTAATTCCCATTCTTATAAGTCTCGATCTATAACTGCTGCCGAACTTTCTTGATTCCAATACTGATGTAGAAGAAGACATCAGCTAGGTTTTTGAAAATCAATTTAATAGTGAATTATGCCCAACTGCGAAGTGCCTGTAAATCAACTGACATTCTTCTTTCGAGTTCATTACGTATTCGTTTAAAACAAATTTATTTTAAAGTTATCTTAATTTTTTGTGTGTTGGTGTTATTGGCATTAAACTTGTTTCCTTTCGACTTCCTTTCGACTAACGAAATAGTGATGAATTTAAGAAGTTGTCATATTCATTTGCCAATTGAGAAAGTTGTATCCTTGATGCTCTCTATTAATAAACAAAAACAAAAACATCAATCACTTACAAGCGTCAACTTAACGTTAATCTCAATTGTGGATTGTCAATTTCAAATTCGGATGAACGTTTTCTCCATTTGTTATTTTCAGTATCACGAATTAATTTCGAATTATTGCTGTAGTACGTGAGCAATTACATAACAAAGGAAATAGATTTAGAGCAAGGGCCGGTTGTATAAAAAAGTGATTAAAGTTAACTATAGTTAGTAGAAACGTCATCGAATAAGAAGCGCGTATTTGAGAGTTAATCACTATTTAACTACAAAATAATATTAAAAAAGCGATTAAGAGTTTTATACAACCGGTCCCAGGCGTTGAATTTATATTGTATATTTCTAGAGATCAACGAGTGTGCTGAACCGGGCGGATGTCCAGAGAACGCAATTTGTGTTGACCTAATAGGAAGATGTCAATATACATGCAAGAACGGCTTTGAAGGAGTGACATGTTCTGGTAAGCAATTATTGATCTTTGAAATAGCTAAGGGGTTAGAAAGTATTCCCACAGTGCATGTGCTCTCCTTAATAAATACATCGGATTTCTAATAGACTACAGCCTAGATTTAACTTATTTTTCAACATAACAACAGGTAATCAGAATATCGATATAATTTAAATTAACTCTAATTGGTTGATGTTTTAAAACTATTAAGTAGGCAGCTAGTTTAACTTCAAGTCCGGAACGAACAAATCATGGTGTAAACAACGAGAAAGCTTCTCTAAATTACTTATTGGGTACGGGCAGTTGCGAGTATATTAATATTGCATTTGAGATTTACTGGTATAATATTGCATGCGAGATATACTGGTATAATATTGCATGCGAGATTTGCCACCTGTTTTGAAACATTCATAAAATATAAAACTAGTGGTATATTTAGCCTGTTAATTTATTGAATAACAGTTAATTTTTTTAAAGTTTTTAAAACCTAAGACGATAATTTTGTTTGCAGACATCAACGAGTGCCAGACAACACCCGGGGTTTGCGACGCAAATTTGGAATGTCGAAATCTCTATGGAAATTATTCTTGTTTCTGTCCATTTGGTCAGTGGCTTATCAATGATAACTGTGCAGGTATGCATTATGATTACAACAGTGTGGTGTGTTTCAACAGTAAACTTTTGTTTGGTCGATGGTGAAACCAAGATGTTTTGTTGGAAAATGTTGTTCACTTCACGCCTTAAATTTTTCAATTGAAGAAGATTTGATTCCAATTTATTTGCAAATAAAATTATGCATGTATGTAATATACAAATTTGAATATGGGAGAAACTGGAAACCGATTTTTTAATTTATTTACGACTCTGTCCTTATAACTCATAGTTCACAGAGAAACTTTAGTACAGAAGTGAAAATGTGGAGAACAAATACTATAAAAAATTAACAGCTGTTCTCAGTTCTAATAATTACCTGAAATATGACAAGAAGTGACGTTCTTTCTCTACTAATCACTCAAGTATATTGTTCACCTCCAGCAACAATGGAACCACGTGTACGTTTAATTCTATATAATAATTCCCGTTAATTTAATGATATGATTTTTCACTAAAAATTTTGCTTTATTTTGCAACGCAACGGCGTGGCTTTGTAAGCCGAGAGCATTCCTATTTAGTTTGCAATTGGTGATCTTGCAAAGAAAATTGAACCTGCTTCATCTTCGAGCAAATGGCGCCACCATTGGGAGCGATCCTCCCTCAATGTTTTTCAGAATGTAGTTCTTAATTCGTTGAAATCTAATGGGATATTGGGGAGGGGTAAAAAATTGCCAGCAGAGTGTTGCTTATCTTGCATACATCAACTCAAATAATACGCAAAACTTTGTTCTAATATAAAGCTCTATGTGACTATGTCTCGAACTTAATTAAATTGCCTAGTGATCTGAAATCAACG